ATGCCAAGGCGTATTACAACAATTATAAAATTTTACATAAGATGATACTGGTTGATATCAAACGTGGGGTTATTAAAAGTGGTAGTGTACTGATGGTGACAGGAGAACAGGTGGGAGTGGTTGGGGGGTTAGGGGTAGTGATAGTGGTTGGGGTAGTGATAGGGGTAGTGATAGGGATTGGGGTAGTGATAGGGATTGGGGTAGTGATAGGGGTAGTGAGAGGGGTTGGGGGAGTGATAGGGGTAGTGATAGGGATTGGGGTAGTGATAGGGGTCGTGATAAGGGTTGGGGTAGTGATAGGGGTCGTGATAGGGGTAGTGAGAGGGGTTGGGGTAGTGATAGGGGTCGTGATAGGGGTTGGGGTAGTGATAGGGGTAGTGATAGGGATTGGGGTAGTGATAGGGATTGGGGTAGTGATAGGGGTTGGGATAGTGATAGGGGTCGTGATAGGGGTAGTGAGAGGGGTTGGGGTAGTGATAGGAGTCGTGATAGGGGTTGGGGCCGTGATAGGCGTCGTGATAGGGGTGGGGGTAGTGACAGGGGTAGTGATAGTGGTTGGGGTAGTGATAGGGGTCGTGATAGGGGTCGTGATAGGGGTTGGGGTAGTGATAGGGGTCGTGATAGGGGTTGGGGTAATGATAGGAGTCGTGATAGGGGTTGGGGCCGTGATAGGCGTCGTGATAGGGGTTGGGGTAGTGACAGGGGTCGTGATAGGGGTTGGGGTAGTGATAGGGGTCGTGATAGGGGTTGGGATAGTGATAGGGGTCGTGATAGGGGTAGTGAGAGGGGTTGGGGTAGTGATAGGAGTCGTGATAGGGGTTGGGGCCGTGATAGGCGTCGTGATAGGGGTTGGGGTAGTGACAGGGGTAGTGATAGTGGTTGGGGGAGTGATAGGGGTCGTGATAGGGGTCGTGATAGGGGTTGGGGTAGTGATAGGGGTCGTGATAGGGGTTGGGGCCGTGATAGGCGTCGTGATAGGGGTTGGGGTAGTGACAGGGGTAGTGATAGTGGTTGGGGGAGTGATAGGGGTCGTGATAGGGGTCGTGATAGGGGTTGGGGTAGTGATAGGGGTCGTGATAGGGGTTGGGGTGGTTATAGGGGTTGGGGTGGGGGCAGGGAGTAGCAGCAGGATAATAACGATGGGCTAGGGAGAAGAGACAGAGATTGTTTTAAGGGAGTAACGGAAGCTGCAGGTTGTTCGAGTGAAGATGATTGTTTGACGTGCAGTGGGAGTTGGTTCCAGTGAAGGGGAGGAAGAAGGGAATAGTAGCGAGAGCGAGACTGGCGCAGGCTGACGGAGGCTGACGGAGGCTGACGGAGGCACAGAGAAAGACGGTAGAGACTGGGAGCATAGGCCAGGCGTTACCTGTACACAGGTGTGGGCTCTCTCTCACCTGTGATTTCACTGGCCTTTCGGTGTTCACCGTACGCTTGCTACAATTACATCCTTAAAATAAGATATCATATGTTGTACCATGTTTATTGAAGGACAGGCCTGGACGTTATTATTACAGTTATAGAAAATAAAATCTATTACACCAAAATGTAAACCATTGCTATAAGGGTGGCCGTTAAAACGCAACGAAGGTGTTCTTACATAACCTAACAACGCAATGGCTGAGAACAAACAACAATCAAATCCCAGCGAGCCGGTATGCGGTTGATTAATCAAGAATTCGAAGAACCCTGAGTATAAAAAAACAATATCTCTGCCTACCTAACATGAATTACAATCCCCAAAACCTTCACCAATATTTTTGCTCAAAAAAATTAGATACAAATGTTAAATATTCCAGCATAATCATGCAGGGATATGGTAAACCGAGGTAATATTGATTCGTTATATCTTATTTGTTTGTTTTAACATCTGCTGCAGTTGTAAGTGCGGTTACATAATCCAACTTCAATTTCAATGAATAAGCAATGACAGGACACACGATAAGGATTTGCAAAAACAGCTCACGTAATGACACAAAGCACACGTATGGGTGTGTTCTTCTCTGTGGGGAGCGGTGGTGCCGTGGTTCGCGAGCTGCGTGACGAACCCTGCAGCCCGAGTTTGATTCCGACACAAAGCCAACACCAGTGACGATTATCTAAATCGGTCCTGGGCCTCCGCTAGGTCGACTTAGCCTCAAGTGAGTACCTGGTGTGATGGTTAAACATCGCCACTGGGGAGACAAATGCGGCCGGACGTGGTGCTGGCCACCCAACCTCGTGTGCTGTGCCAGCCTTCATAGATGCTCACGAACAGCACTTCCCCCAACAGTCTCTTAAGGTTATATGGGGGATCTTTGTGCATAAATTTCTATACAAATACCCGCCATTCGCCACTAAGTAACGATGACGTCACCATGGCGCCCGTGCCTGGCCAGGTGCACTTTGAGGCCACGTGTCGAAGGCTCGCTTACAGGAGGTCACGGGACAGACCCAGGTGCCATGGGTTGAGTGATTGATATACTGGCAGATGCATCAGCTGTGTCCCCTACAGTGCCAACTTGTTGAATTTTAGCTGCCCAGCGCTCTGCTCGTTGTTGTCAACTGCAGCATGAATATACACACACACACAGCCATGGGAAGAAAGTGCAGTCACACACTCCCCTACGAAGCAACCAACCTCAGTTCCATTCCCACCAATGGACAACATCAGTGGTAAGTGATGTTAAAACCATTTTCCCGGATTTTGCTAGGTTAATTCAGCCTGTAATTAGCATCTGGTGCATTGTGTAAACATAAGCACTGGGAAGAGACATACGGCCTGGTGTGGTTCTGGCTACAACACCATCTTGTGCGTCCTGCCAGCCTCCAATTGGTGCCCTGCAAACAGCAGTTGCCCCAACAGCCTATGGAAGCTATATGGGGCATGTTTGTTTTTTCTATATACACAAACACCCGATGAATACTGCATTCATTTAATGAAGAGAAGTCACAATATCTATGCATTGGCAATAACGAGGTTAAGGGGAACAGTACGTATTTCTCTAAATGGAAAACATTCAAGGAATAAACCAATGGCCCTTCAATTAATAAATATTAGTCATTTACAGCACTTGTCAGTCTACTGCTGGATGGAGGCCTCCGCATTCCGGGTCAGTCATAGGGTGTGTTTGACTATACTTCACCACAATGGTCAGTGTTGCTAAGCGAAGTGGCGATGGTGGCGCTGGCTGGGAATCAGAATGAACTCGTGTTTCTTTTGCACAGCCAACACAGTGCCTGATGCTTTCTTTAAAGTTGTGCAGCACATCTCCTCTGTGTATAGGACATCATCCTCAACAAGATCCACGGGAAAATAGCCAGGAGGCGTCCACTGCACATTTCACCGTTTGTGTTCACTTTCCTCTTATCTCATGCCAAGATGCTCAAGTAGTGCATAACTTTCTGGCACCAATCTCTTGCGTTGTCAAGCCATATGACATCAATGTGCAAACATGCTCACAGCTAAAGTTTGCGACTGTATTATACGACAGATAAACAATACCCTGCTCAGCCTTTGGCGCATGTCTGTAATCCACAACTCTAGGGAGAGGGTTGGTGCCACAGTAGTGACATGTTAACTACCTCACCTGGTATACAGGAGGTTGTGGGTTCAATCCCGACCCTGATCCCTGTATATTTTGAGTTTGGATGTTCTCCCCGTGGTCACGTGGATTTTTATCCGGATCTTCCGATTTTTCCCTCCACATTTAAAACATGCGTTTAGAGTATTTGGCTGCTATAAATATATCCACATCAGCCACTTCGATGAGCTATCATTTTTGGGCAGGTCGCTTCTGAAAAAGAGCTACATAGCTCAGTGGACCTTACCTGGTACAATAAAAAAATATATTAGTGAAGTTTGGTGGATCACACAAATGCCATGAAACTGCTTTCCTGTGGGCATTGAAGTCGTTGTTCCCTGGCTCATCACAAGATGGCAGTACTGCAAGTGGATTAATTATTAATCTACATCGATTTCCATTTGTACAATGACAGAACGTTGCCCCCTTGCACATATGAGTTTCTCCTGGTACTCCGCTTTCCTCTGACATGTATAATCACTCACTAACGGAGTTAGTGAGTGAATTGCTTGGGCAATTGTTGGTAGCGGTTTCCCACGCCTCTGAATCAAAGGAAAACTGTGTGCATTACACAAATGTAACTTTAACCCTCTCAGCAAAAAACTGTGTGTGCCCTATCAAGATTCAAAGTCAGGGCCGACAGTTAACCTGACAGAGTCCACATCACACATATTTAACGACGCCTGCGATTCACGGATGTCGTGGCAGAATCGGTCTCAATGCATACGCTACATGCGAGTACATAATAATGGTTTTCTATACATCTCTGTTATCGAGGAAAAAGGTCATCTGTTCCAGGAATGCAACGTGCCATTAATGAGTCAACAAAGCAAAACAATTAATGATTTTTTAAAAAAAGAAATAGAAGAAATTAGCATAAATTACAAATAAAAATAATTTCCCCATCGATTACAACTTATAACACACAGATAATAAATATTTTTAAAAATGTAAAAACTTAAATGATTTTTAAATATACCCCAGACTCAACCTTAAAGCCATTAATATCAGTGAGTGTTTTTTTTTCTGGCCGGTACATTACCATTCAATTGAAATGACTGTGCTCATTAAGCAGCGCATGGATTCGAGTTAGCATAATAATACCCAAATATTAAAATTCCATAAGTGGATAAAAATGGATGTTATAGCAAGGCAACACTTACATTATGTGCTAAAACACACCAAGAAGCGCCCAACAAAAATACAATATGCACAAAGGGTGTTATCATAAATGGCGTGGCTTCACAAACTTATGACGTAATACCACGGCTCTCAGAGCACTCCAGTGTCAATGCATCTTGCAGTGCGGTCAATTAATTTCAAACTCGACTTTGCAGTTAAATGTGAAAAGCTCGCCCAACGGACTGGCTGGCCTGCTGTGTTGTTTCCCCAAGGTGACACGAGAGAGACGGGTCATCAATCTCACTCAAGCGGATGTCTACAATGGAGATGGACACTAATTGCCTTAAGCCTGGAGGCCCCATGGCTTGGCACCAAGAATGTGTCCCTGCGCCACCTGTGCTTGTTCAATAAACAAGGGAGCAGGCCAAGACCAACACGCGCCGAGACTGCCAGGGACGCGCGGATGAAGGGGGTGAGCACGCGTAAGAAAATGACAAAAATATTTCACGCAAATATTAACCCTTTAGAAATATGTTCACACGTTAATTTATAGCGCAATGAAAATGAAAAAGGCACGGCACTTCCCACTCCATTTCGCTAATTATTTTTCTAATCGGAAAGCTCCAGCTGCAGTCTCAAAAACTATTAACCTGTGCATGTGACAGAGACAAATGAAAGGAAACTAAGTATCAATTACAGGCTTTAAATCAAAATTCTGCATTATGACGGCAAAATGTTGTTGTTGTTAATTCCCATGCATGGAGGTGTAATTTGATGGCGCCGGATCAACAGGTTGATCGTTGAACTTAAGGAAACGCACACGCCAGCCGGAACAAAGCTTACGCGGGAAGCAGAAGCGTCCACGCGCACAGCAACTCGCTGGGAGGTACAACACCGCTCAGCAACCACGGTAAATCACAGAAAAATGTGACGGCCCCGGTCGATTTAGAGTTTGGAGCAAGTTGGGCGGAAATAACGCCAAGCGACAAATTGCAAACAAGGGTGCGAGCGCCGCCCCTATTTGTATGCGGGGTAGCATCTTGGACGGCTTACACAGGACCGCTAGCAGGGTGCGCCTCCCGAGATTAAATAACATTTTGAAGAAGACTGCCCCGGAATGTAAACGTGATGCATTAACCAGTGCATAAATATGCATGCGTACTACAGAGCCGCTCCGTGAGAACTTCCCATACATATGATAATTTGAACTTCAAAGCGGGGATAAAGAACCCAACGGTAGAGTGCGCCATAAAAAATTGGTTTTCAGCTCAAGGTCCTCAATTTCAGCATCCCAAATGGCAAAATATGCATTAAAAGTTATCTGAATATGGGCAATTTGTGGCATTTCAGGAAATACAGATTAAACAAAAAAATAACAACAGATTGAATTTAAAATTATATTTTACAAGGATGGGATATGTTACAAGCTGGAATCCTACTGTGTGCATAAAATGAACATAAATGTCTCTGAAAATGCACGGTCATCGCAAGTGTTGGAGTAGCCATGGTAAAGGAGGTCATGTAACCATTGATATTAATTGGGGACAGTGAGTCAATCACAAGGCATCTCAGCCCATCAAGAATGTATTCCCAGATTGCTTCATTAAACGTCTTCCTTGTGCAAAATTAGACCAGTCGGAATAGAACAAATAAATGTCCATTTCCAAGAAAAATGGCTATTTAAAATTTTATAGATGAATGCTTCCTTATTCACATAGATTTGCGGATACCACTTGTAAAAATGGGGCACTGCAGTGGCAAAATATTATCTCCCTCGCCTGGTACGCAGGATATCGTGGGTTCAATCCCTTACCCAGACGATGCCAGTATACAGTGGTACCCCGGAGATCGAACTTAATTCGTTCCAGAAGGCCATTCGAACACCGATTTGTTCGAACACCAAATCAATTTTCCCCATACGAATTAATGTAAATGACATTAATTGTTTCCAGACACAAGAAATCTCTCATTATAAAGCATTTTTACACGAAGTTTACAGTAATTACATGCATAAATCATACAAAAAAACAAGAAACACAATAAATAAATGGAATAAATGAATGAATATATGGAATAAATGAAATAAATGAACATTGAACTTCACTTTACCTGTAGTAAGGAGAGTTGATGGATTGAGTGGAAGGTGGTGAGGAGGAGGTGGTGGTGGTGTTATTGTTTGAAAGGGGAGTCCCCTTGGGCAAGCGTCATGCACGTTGCTGGCCATACGCGTCTCAGCCGTACAGGTTCTTTTAAGTCGCGATTGCCCGTTCAACCTCCGAATTTCGTTCGGTTTCCAGGGCAAAAAATGTTCAGAAATATTGTTCGAACACCGATTTGTTCGAGTTCTGGTGCGTTCGATTTCCGAGGTTCTACTGTATTTGTAGTTTTCTCCGGGCCCTCAAGTTATGCCCTTTAGATTATTTGGCTGCTGCTATAAATCCCATGAGTGATGATATCAGCCACTTCGATGAGCCATCGTGTGGTCAGGTCGCCTATGAAAAATAACGACTAGCTCAGTGGGCTTTACCTGGTAAATTAAAAAAAAAAAATAAGAATTATGGTATAAGAGGTAAATGTGCAGCCCTGCAATGACCTGCTTGCATCACTGTTGGCAGAAGGGGCTCCACAAGAGGGGGGCTCAAAAGAGACCCTCTCTGGAGCCTGTGGTAAAACACTTGAAAAAATATGCAATTGACTCTTTTTTTGCTGATCTTGTAAAGTACATAAATCACTTGAATTAGTCACGAGAAGCATTGGCACATCAGCCATCTATACTTCAGGGATTCATTTAAGCAAGAAGAAGAGCGGCAATAATGCATATCATTAAAAAAGGTATTTTGTTCCCTGCCAAATTCATGATAAATGTTGCAAATGCCACTTAGGGATGCCACTTCCATAATTGGGCCCTCTGATAGTCGACACTCTTCTCGAAATGGTCATGAATTTTGCATTATCCAACAACAATGGCTGGGGCAGGGCATGAGGTGGAGCGGGGAGGGGGGTATATGCCCGGCACATTCTGCAGCGGTGTTTGACAAAACCTACTGAATGAGAATCGCACGCATTGCCAACAACAACATGAACAAAAAAAATTGCTGAAAAAAAGCACCGGGCGACCACAAATCAATCTCATGCGTGCAGAGCGGTGGCCGTTCGACGCGCAGTCTTCAGCGGCGTCTGAATCACGATCAACAAACACGGCGGACTCCCCGGAGGTTTCCACATCCAAACCTCCCACACGTGGGCACGGAATCAATTACCGCAGGGGAGCATTGCACTTGTTTTTCCTTACAGCGGAGAGCCACGCGCAGGAGTGTCGGCTCGATGTGCGGGTTTGACGCCCGGCGATTGTTATCGGGCTCATCGCTGATCTGCAAACGTTTGGCAAAGGGTGCAATTCTGCCTCGCCACGCAGCAACGCTGTCGAAAATGCCTCTGGTCAAAACGTTTGCTGCAAAAATACGTTAAAGACCCATTTAGAGCAGGTAGTAAAAGAGCGGGCAGTAAATTCCCAAATTAAGCTCACTGCAAGATTTGGGACAGGGTGGTGCAGTGGTGCTCTGCACAATGCAATTATGAAACCTGGTGACCTGGGTTTGACTCTCAGCCACGGATAACATCAGTGGCGAGAGATATCTGAATCGATCCGAAGCCTCACCCCTTTACTAACCTGCACTAGCCTGCACTAGCCAGTGCGGTGAAGTATGGCCAAACAACCCCGATGATCAACACGGTGCGGGGAGAAGGCCCTCATTCAGCAGTGGCAGCTTGTCCCACAAATGGATGTAAAAGTTTTATTACTGCTGTTAATTAACAAATTATCAAACATGAAAGTATAATAAATTGACAGGGAACCATCACATAGTGCACGCATTAGGAGAGAATGCTCCCGCCATAATAATGTGGAATTTTCACCACTGGTTCAGTGCAGGCCAAGGAAATGAGCACTACCCATGTAATCAGGAAGACGTTGTATGCTTGATAGAAAAACATGAGACTTACGGCACATGAAGAGGGATTGCTACCATTAGCTCGGAGCCTCCTAGCAGAATAGCAGATGGTGCGAATCAAATTGAACAATAAATCAATCAAACGCCTTTATCTTAAAGTAGCTAAATTTCAATTTGGAACTTATGCAGTGAAGAGCAGATTAACATTCTACAGATGGCTTCAACCATTTAAAATGAAACACTTATATTGCAACATCGACTATTAGCTGTACACTGCATCAACAACGTACAATGAGCATTACATATATATTATGCAAACTGGTTTCGTGTGCATGTTTACATGGTATTATGTGCCCCTCTAATAGTGATGTTTTTCAAGTTAAATTGTTTGAAAAGGTTTGAGCAACGGTGATCTCCATGGGTCAAGTTAAGGTATCTCCCTGCTCAAACAAGCATAGGGGGCAGTACTCGTGTCTGCTGGCATCCTCGAGCCAGGGGTGGGAATGACACGATCCCATTGTGTGTGGCAACCACTGCTGATCACACGTGATAAGGGGTGAAACGTTAAACAACCTTTGATGACGTTAGTAACCAGGTAAAGTCTGAACTGACTGTGATATTTCCATCCTACCTGCCTATGTCAGCTGTTATTTCCGACTCTCTCTGTGTGTCTCTCTCTATGATCTCTCACATGTTCTTTGGATTGCACTCTCATGCTCACATGTCCTTTGGATTGCACTCTCATGCTCACATGTCCTTTGGATTGCACTCTCATGCTCACATGTCCTTTGGATTGTACTATCATGCTCACATGTCCTTTGGATTGCACTCTCATGCTCACATGTCCTTTGGATTGCACTCTCATGTTCACATGTCCTTTGGATTGGACTCTCATGGTGCTAATCTCTCATTAACACTGCTGTTGTGCGCATATGCGGGCATGATACTCTTGTGCGGCGACGGAAGCTCATTCATGCTAATTTCCCTAACTAATTCCTCTCTCCCTAATCTCCCCCATTAACACAACTGACGTTCTTGCGTCCATGGATGGAATTCCTTTCCAGCTCAGACCCCGCTTGCTTGCCCATCGCCACATCTATAACCTCTTGTTGTTGTAACAGTTCTCTCGCTGGTTCAGCAGTTCCACTGCTGGATTGTATTTTTTCCGCCTGAGGACGACCACTTGTTTTGCGATCGAAACATCGTTATTTATTTTATTTTATACCTACGTGATTTTACAGAAAGAACCAAAGAGTATAGTAATAATAATTTTAAAAAATAATATGCCACACAATATTCGCTTACTGTCTGGCTGCTCCAAGAGAGAGAACGACTTCAGAGGCGCAAGTAGGAACCACAGACAAGAAAAAACAGCAGCCAGATGGTGAACCCGTGACAAATTCACACGTGGGAGGAACTTAGAGCACCCGCAGTACATCCAAGCGTGTGGTGCAGCAACACCATACCCATAGAGATAGAACAAGTGAAGTTCACGTTTGCTTTAACGCCTCTTCCTGACAAGCCAGGGTATGTCACCCCAACGCTCACGGAAATGGAATTTTACAACATTTATCGTGTGATCCACCAAAACACGCCTCCACAGCGCTGGATTACAGGTCACGTGTACCACCACTGCCCAGCTAAAGGCTGTATCCATGTAGTCTCAGGTCAACTGCATAACCAGCCCAAGTAGTGGTAAACGCTGGGAGATGGGTGAGTGGAACAAATATGAATCTATAAACACTCATGAAATGGCCGAAAACATCTTACTGTATATGGCATCAAAGAGCTTGGGCAATCATGATCAAAATCATCATTTAGACTGCAAGAGGAGGAATCCGATGAGCTATGAAGCTCTTTTCACAGATATTCAGTGGGTAATTGTCAGTAGAGCGTAGTTCCTCCTTGTGCCTCACGAGCCACCGTCTTCAAGAGTGAGCGAATATGCCATGCACGTTACAAGTTCTTACAATCATTTGAGGGTAGTGAGCATGCGGCGAATGTGGCTGCATACGTGACATCTATGCATTGATGTTTTCAAAACCCCATAGCAAAATTCAGATTTCGGATTCAGATTTTAGGTTTCTAGGCTCATTTAAATTGTTTACTGATTTACCTACTAACAAAAGTGATATCACCTGATGCCACGTTACACCACTTTGTGCAGGAAAACCACCGAAGTGAATGCAAGTGAAGTGCTTTCCTATGAAATTACACTTCAAGAACAATCCTAACAACAAAATTAGGACCATCTGAAATGTTACATGTCGGTGATATTTGGATTTTTCGGATTGATCCAAAAATCAGGAGCACATCTCTAACACTTACATACATATCACGTGATTATAAGCCATAAACATCTTTTTAAATAACACCAACAGAAGGTAAGAAAGAGAAATAAATAAATTTGAAGCTTTCGTGACTGCAAGGATCCATACTCTTTGGTTCTATTCGGTAAAGTCACGTACTTTACTGAATAGAACCAAAGAGTATATAAATAAATAAATAAATTTGCTGGCAGGAAGGCAGTGTGATGTGCTCAATGGTGGAATGTTGATGGCTCTGGATTGATGGAACTAGAATTACAGTCCAATTACTCGTGTCGCAAAGGAGCCGAAAGAAGGTGCTGTTCTCCTGCAGAGAGGAGTTACCCTTCTAGTTACAGGGCGATCCACCGTGACTTCCAGAGAGCTTCAGATGTTGCTCAGGTTACAGAACAACAACCATATAATCAACTGGGCACATTTCAAAAAGTGTAAATCTCTTTGCTTTGTCTTCAGACTCTGCATTGACTTTTGTAATATGAACAAAACCTCAAACCTTTCCTATTTTCCCGTAGGATGAAAAGAAGAAAATAAAATAATTGTATTCTGATGTCAACACAAACAAGCTCCTGGAAAACATCGGCGATTAAAGGAAAGATCCACCCTGGAACTCGGGCAAAGATAAGACGAAACCCCAGGTGCACTCAGGTGCCGAAAAGCCCGCGTAAAAAGGTCTCAAATTATCCTCCCCCATGCACAGCTAGTGGCCAGCCCTCATTTACTTTTTGGAAACCTCAGTTCGGGTTCACTCCTTTAATCCACGCACAGCTCATTAACTGGGAGATGGTTGGTGGCTCTGTCTCAAATGTGTGTACAAGGAGAGCTTGTAACTTGTATTGATTCTGCTACAAACACGTACAACATTTGTTTTCATCCTGCGCGGGTGCATCCTTGTCAACATGACGCTGTGCGCGTGGTAAATTACACCCAACGTGTACATTCTGTGGTCACAGGCAAGCACAGGGGCTCTTGCCACGTGCAGTTTATCGACGGGGGCACTGGCGGTGCACCGCTGTTCAAAAGGACCTCTGGCTTGCTACTTTTTTATTTATAACCTGACTTTTACAACGACATAATCGACGAAACGCAACTGTGTGCACATCACACGTACAGACCTTTAACAACAGAGCTGCTTTATACTTTCCACTGTTTACATCAGTGTTCTGTAGTCACTCTACACGCGTTCAACGCCCTTGGTTGTCCCCAGATATTACCTTTTTCTGTTTGTTGAGATGGTCACAAACTCCCCGAGAAATACCTTGTTTCATCTCCATGCTGTCAATTATCTCCGAGATAATAATGTAGACCTTAATTACGAGAGGTCTACACAAGAGCAATATATTTTATCATAAAATTACACTGCAGGCAAGCACAATTGCACGAATTTTTTTACTTTTAATTTGGTAATGCCTCACACATGACGTTAAATGCACTCACTTCATAATATATAAATTATTTAATGGTGACGCTGCTGCTGTGTTGACAGTGGTGCACAAACACAATTCAAAATAAAACGCAGCAAATTCGTCAAGAACACTGTGGCCTCGAAAGAAAAAACATGTAACAGGTGACGTTTCGGGCAACGGCCCTTCATCATTGGACCATGCTTTGCAATAACAGAAAATTAGGCTATTGGGACAAGTGTAGAGACTACCACACTACCCAAATGAAAAGCCACAAATGGGCTTACTCAATCAATAAACCGTGTCCACGGCAGCACACAAGCCTCACATCGAACAGAGGCTCATTATATTCTTGGTTATTTCGGTAAAGTCACGTAGAAGGGAAACAATAAAATAATAAAAATATAAAACAATAAAATAATAAAAATAATATTTTTTATTATTTTATTGTTTCCCTTCTACGTGACTTTACCGAAAGAACCAAGAATATGAATCCCCGCAGTCACGAAAGCTTTAAATCAAGAGGCTCATTAATTGGGCAATTAGCAGCAAAGCTGTGCATCTTCCCCAGTTATTGCCCTGTCACGTACCCCTGACAGCTTCAAATGTGCCTTTTCTTTTACATAATCACAGTACATAGTACAATAAAATGTCAAACTCTTTTTGTTGTTGTTATTGCATGTGCTAGTCCATTACATGATTATCTCCTGACCGTGTGAGAGATAGTGTTTATTCTTAGTGCCAGTGTTTCCTCGGACGACACGGTGTGTACGCGCGGACGCGTATGTGGGGAGTGGTGGTGCAGTGGTTTGCACGCTGTGCTTTGCACCTGGTGAGCTAGGTTTATTCCCAACTGCAGCTGATGCCCGTGGTATGGGTTGTCTAAACTTGTTGCCAAGTAAAACATTAGTACTCGGAAGACAAAGGCGTGTGCCATGCTGGCCTTAATAGATGCTCACAACAAGCGTCCAACAGTCTGGTTAGGGATCTGTGTCATTTGTGAGCATGCGTGGGCACGTGTGTGTGTGTATATCAGTCAACCCATGGTACCTGGGTCTGTCCCGTGACCTCCTGTCAGTGAGCCCTTGACACTTCACGTGGCCTGAGAGTGCACCTGGCCTGGCACAAGCGCCGTGGTGACGTCACCGTCACTTCGTGGCGAATGGTGGTTGTTGTTGTCTATCATTCAAAGTCATAGCTGCTGTGTCCAAAGCAGTCTGTTAATGGAATATGTAGTGTGCGAACCTGTCTCATACAATAAACATTCAATTGGTGAATTCTTGTTTATTTTGGCAAACACTTGTTAAAATGAGAGAGTGCATCTACAGCGAAGCTATAATTCTATTTTCAGATGAAGAAATAAAAAACACGCCAACGTACTGGCTGGAATTTTCCCAGGTAGCCCTTGCAAAAGAGGCAATGCTGTTTCAATTGTCTCAACGGGTTTATTTAATCTCCTGGTTAAATAAATTATGCGAAAACAACTATTTGGGGTTTAATGCAGATGCCAATGGAATACATCTGGTATTCTTTGGTTCTAATGGGTAAAGTCACCACGTAGGTAAAAAATAAAATAACAAAAATCACGACGTGTCGGCCACAACACAAGCAGCCTTCATCAGGTGAAGGGACCAGACTGTCTGGAGGACAGCGCTGCAGTGAAAAAAGGCACGCTCAGATCACGACCTTTAAGCTGTGTGAGAAGAAACAAAACGCCTTGACAAAGGAATTAGCATATAATTTAGCATTGAAATGGCTCATTGAAATAGCTAAAGGAATTAGCATATAATTTAGCATTGAAATGACTCATTGAAATAGCTAAGTTAATTCCTTTGTCAAGGCGCTTTGTTTCTTCTCACACAGCTTAAAGGTCGTGATCTGAGCGTGCCTTTTTTCACTCCAGCGCTGTCCTCCAGACAGTCTCGTCCCTTCACCTGATGAAGGCTGCTTGTGTTGTGGCCGAAACGTCGTGATTTTTGTTATTTTATTTTTTACCTACGTGACTTTACCCAATAGAACCAAAGAGTATGGATCCCAGCAGTCACGAAAGCTTTAAATCTAGAACATCTGGTATTGCTGTTAATGTCACACAAAGCGTGTCAAAACTGGTATATAATAATGCTAACATCCCAGGATTGTAAGAGGTGGCGTTGGGTTAGGGAGACCTTCATCCAGCAGCGGATTGACGAATTCTAATGATCATATACACAATCCAGTGTCTCACGGCTCAAATAACTCATGGTTGAAATTCCCCATTCCCAAGGCAGGGACCATTCATTCTACAGCACATTGCCTGTCGACTTCCCAAGCTGTGATATTCATTGCACCCAAGTGTAGTGACGTTAAGGGTGTCACTATGGTGTTAGTGCCAAGCACTATCATAAGAGTGCTACTGTGCGTCTAGAACCTCTCTCTGTGGCCAGAGTGAGTACGACATGCGAACGGGCCCTAGGAGGCAGTCCTCGTGACGGCTTGAGAGAGGGCAAGTCGGGACATGGTAGTCTGGGTGAACCCGAGAGGGCACGTGACCGGGACAGGGTGGTGAGGGGGGCCCGAGGGGGGCTTTAGGGACACGTGATGCTCGGTCGAGATCCTTCGGGAAAGGTCTCGAAGGGGGCGTGGCCGAAGGCGGAGCGAGGCCACGCTCAGGAGCATAAAGGGGAGGTCCCGGGAGCCTTCTTGGCTGTTCCCTGGAATCAACCTTCGGCGCTACGTCTCTCCGACCTTCGGTCTTCGCTGACTGACCCGGTTATGAGGTTACCCTGTTGGGGTCTAGTGTAGTGAGTGTACGTTATGTAGTTAGCCCTGTTGGGGCTGTGTAATAAACGTGTTGCCTCAAACTCAAGTGTGTGCCTCCGTATTCTACACGACACAAGTACAATGCGCGCGTCTATAATGTGCAGTAATTTTATTAATAGCATCAATGGCATTGTTGTTTCTAAAACGTGAGAGGAAGCAGTTGCTTATCACAGCCAGCCAGAGGAACAACTCGCACCCTTGAAGAAACTCCTTGGTGAAACGAGAAGCTGAGGGTGGCTCCAATATTTTACAAAATTACCGACCGTGGCGACCTAACACACGTGCATCTGACACTGTCAGTCAAATGCCTACCCTCTGTGACCTGCGCCCTCCCGTTACACTTTGACTTCCGTCTTTTGCACATTCACTGAGGGACGCGCATAATGGGGATGCCTGCATACATATTTACGTGAGCGACATACATCACATATTCCACTCTCCCAATGGCTCAACGGTAGCATGTTGCAGAGGTTTCAGAGTTTGAATTCAGCGGCCGCCCTGATTATCACTGTGGTGTGTAGGAGTAATAATAATCTGCTTCACAGTGCATGTTAAATGTCCCTTGTTGTCATTCGCTAGCGTAGGCTATTGTGTGCAGGCTCATGGTCCATATTTGGCAATTTAGAAAATTACCCGCAAATTACTCACTTGGGATTATACGTATGTGTCTATGCATGTTGAACTTCTTTCGCACCGTATGTAGTCAACCGTGCTAATTGGAGGTGTGGAGAAAAGACAACAAATTAAAACACAAAAAACGTAGCAAACATCGACCCCCTAACGGCAGACTAATGCCCTGGTTACCCTTGCAAAAGAGAATATCCTGGTCTCTTAATTTCTCACCGGTTTAAATAAAATTTTCTTAAAACTGAACTTTACCTAAAACCTCATGCCAGGTTCTCTGTGGTCTCTTGGAGCGAGGTCTCACAAAGACTGCATTGATACAAGGTTCTGTGGCAGTGGTCAAACATGCACACGAATGAATGTACACGCATACACGTGAACACAACATACACACACACAAATGTGGGCATGCATGCACACAAAAGCATTCAAGCTAACCCCCACATACATACACATAAAGACAAAATTACAAATATCCGCCCTATGGAGACTGTTGGGGCAAGTGCTGTTAGAGAGCACCTACAGTATGAAGGCTGGCATGGTACACAAAGGGGTGGGTGGCCAGCACCACGTTGGCCAGCACCACGCTTGGCCACCTTTGTATTTACAGTGGTGATTTTTACACACCCGCCAGCTACTCATTTTGAGGTTAAGTCGACCTAGCGGAGGCCCAGGACCGGTTCAGATAATCATCACTGGTGTTGGCCATGAGTGGGAATCGAACTCAGGCCGCCTGGTTCGTAGCGTTCTAACCGCTGCACCACCGTTTCCCACCATGTGTAAACACATGCACACTCACACACGCACAAAAATACACATGTACGATTGTGCGAACACACACACAAACTTGCACACACAAAAGCAAATGCGTATGTGTGCGCGCTGGAACATAACGCACTCATGAGTGCACTGAAACACACATACGTGTGAGCACATACACGTGCACATGCACGCAAACACACGCTGCCAATGACTGCCTCACTTTACAAACTATGCCCATTATTTCTGCACAGCCTCTTGAGATGTGGTCACCTTTCGACACGGCTATACAAATCCAAATTGTATTGCATTGTGTTGTGTTCTCCATAAATGTCAATGATCATTCTCCTACCGAGGATATTTCAGCTAATATCCCAAGCCCTGTGAACAAACAGTACTTGCAGCTCCATAGTCAGAGTCGGGAGGGTAAAATACATTGAGGTACGCCCGAGCAGACTCACCAACTCAATCAAGTGAGCCAGGTGCGTGTACACGGTTTGCACAAGGGTGCATGACTTTACCAATGTTTCTGGTGACCTATACCACATGCAGTAACAAGGCCGTAATAACACTTCTGTTTTCCTGTACCTAGTGTGCAGACTTTCCGTTATTGTAAGCAGTGCAGAACCGCGTTCGGGTCCAGAAGGCGTGAGTAATGCAATGTTCTTTTGCACAGAGCCGTGCGATTGACATTATCAATTGGACGAGTTTTGCTCAATTTGCGCTGCTTTCGTGTTGCACCAAGGGAATGAGATATGATTCAGGAGTCATTTCTGTTGTTTCACATACATCAGCGGAGCCCAAGCACAGATCCGAGAGTGATCATCTCGCTTTTAAAGTAGACGCCAAACACATCGTTAGTTTTCAGGGTCAGTGAAGCTAAACAAAAACACAAAGTCAGGGGGTCATTTGGCAAAAAGCAACAACATGTATTGCGTTTTACATTTAGCCCAGAGCGTGCTTCATATCAGAGCAATTTGCTATCGGGGGCTTGTAGTCTTGTGGGACAAACACCGATTTGTGAAAAGCCCTTATAATATGACACAAGCCTGTTGTTTTTTTTCCTACAAATTAACACAACAGAGATTTCATTCAAATGTATCTGCGATGCATTTACTGTACTATCGGCCAATAACCTATGCACTGCTCGATGAAGACCTTCCCAAGTTTTTGCCATCTCTCAGGATCTTGTGATTCAACAATCCACCTGGTTCCTGCACAGGATCATCAGCTCCCAGTGCTTTCATATCCACGGTGCACATTATGCTGGGTGCGTTCCCTCCTTTGGCTACCACTTCATCGGTGTCGAGAAGTTAACTACCTCGCCTCGTATACAGGAGGTCGTGGCTTCTATCCCGACCCTAACACCTGCTGTATATTTGGGGTTTGCACTTGGTCGCGTTGATTTTTCTCCGGGTCCTCTGGTTTTTCACGCCACATTTATAAACACATGCTTAGAGTATTTGGCTGCAATAAAATTCCACATTAGCCACATCAATTCTGACAATGACCCAAAACACACGGCCAAGGCAACAAAGGAGTGGCTCAAGAAGAAGCACATTAAGGTCCTGGAGTGGCCTAGCCAGTCTCCAGACCTTAATCCCAGAGAAAATCTGTGGAGGGAGCTGAAGGTTCGAGTTGCCAAACCTTAATGACTTGGAGAAGATCTGCAAAGAGGAGTGGGACAAAATCCCTCCAGAGATGTGTGCAAACCTGGTGGCCAACTACAAGAAACGTCTGACCTCTGTGATTGCCAACAAGGGTTTTGCCACCAAGTACTAAGTCATGTTTTGCAGAGGGGTCAAATACTTATTTCCCTCATTAAAATGCAAATCAATTTATAACATTTTTGACATGCGTTTTTCTGGATTTTTGTTGTTATTCTATCTCTCACTGTTCAAATAAACCTACCATTAAAATTGTAAACTGATCATTTCTTTGTCAGTGGGCAAACGTACAAAATCAGCAGGGGATCAAATACTTTTTTCCCTCACTGTAACAAAATACATGTCAGAAAGGGAGTCAAGCAAGAAGACGCATGTTCGCTGTGATAATTTACAGCCAAATTTAAATGTTTCCACAAACTTTGATTGGAGAAACAAAGGTATAAACGGAAGGAGACATTAACATCTCCCTTGTGCATGATGACATACTTCTGTACAATAGCACTCATATACACAACACACTTTGCAATCACACTTAATTTGAAAAAAATAAATGTGAAAAGAGTCCGTTTTTAAATGTAAAAAGTATGAATACGACAACATTTTTATTACAACAGGATTCCTTCGTTATTTGTGTTAAGCAGAGCGGAGAACAGTGGCTCTATACCAGTAGCACGTACAGGTGGCATTGCACGTGTCAGCACAATTGTTCAATGTAGGTAATTTGTGCAAATACGAGCAAATTTAACTTCATATACAGTTAGTCCATGTAAAGGAAATGAATTCCTTAGATTTCATCAGTCGTTCCTAAGTCAGCCATTATTTTATGTTGTGGAACAAGGGTGCTGTGTTACAGAAACATTGACAGGCTATGTATGTATTGGGAACTTCTTTCGCACCGTATGTAAACCAAGCGCACTAATCGGAGGCTACATATGAGCATACCTGTGCTTCAGTGACGTTTGCTACGTTTTTTGACGTGCTATCGTAGAACAATGTATACTTCTTGCTACAAAAAGTGGCATTCTAAACGTGTGCAACTGCTAGAATATCTTGCATGTGAAAATGAAGAGTTAAGTTGTTATTTTAGGATATGCTTCCAATGCCTATTATGCAATCGTTATCCTGATAACACTCTTGTTAGAGTGGGACAGGATGAGTAAACATGCACAAATGATTGATAATGCCACGAACAATGAAAAACTAAATCCGTTAAACTCACCTTGGGCTCATGAAAATACTGAAATCATGTCAATGAAGACAGTGATTCCTGAATGCGTATTCCTTCCGCATGATCCCTGTGCATTGTCCAGAAGAGGCATTGACTCAATGGGTGCGACTCACAACTTGGGGAAGTGCCAATAATGCCTGGCAGATCGCTCTACGGCTTTTCCCATGAGCTCCGTCAAAGCGGAGCGATGCATGCACCAGCCGAACATGGCCCTCCGCCAACATGCGACTTCCCACTCACATCTGTCTCTCCATGGTCATGCGAGCAACGAGGCATCACTCACCAAAAAAATGCGATAGGCGTTCCCACGTGTGATGGTGCCCCAACAGGGATCCGAGTCCAGGATTTTGCTTGATATGTTTGTGCGAGACAGGTTTCCACTGCACAAGACAAAGTAAAAGGTCAGACACACAGTACCTTAATACTAAACTCACATTCAGTTATTCAATTACTCAAACGAGCAATTTATTGTTGAAATGAGCAATGCGGGTGACACTCCTCTCCACTGGCAGCCCTGAGCCGGTGGTGGAGATTCCACATTTCTATGGCGGGGGCCAGTCTCTTCAGCGAATAACCACTGCAATGCTGATCTTATTTCTCACGTGTCCACACATGGTACATGCCAGAGTGCAGCACAACTCATGTAGATAACAGGCGACTGAAGTGATACCAGACGTGATTCTGCACCCATCATCTCCTGGGGACACTGGCACGGCTCCCTGCAAGAGTTCAAAATGGGCATTGCTTGAACTCATACGATGACACCGATAGCACCATTGGAATGTACTTAGAAAGAATGCCAGCTGCATTCTAGTGATGTAGAGCTGTGGGAGTATTAGGCTCAGAAATTCTAGATTGCTAGACATTCACACCACTTTATACAATACAAACTAGTCAGCATCTGCCTGGCCTTCAATAAAAGGTTCCAGGATTTAATAACACGACCGTAAAAAAGACTGATATAAAACACAAGTTCAATGATATATTGTTAATTTAACAATACATAACAACTTGAATGGGTTAATCTGAAAAAAAAAGTTATTTCGAAAAATCCAGTGTCTCCCAGGACATAAAGGCATGGGGTAGCATTTATTTGTTTCCACTGGCACCCCTAAGCCATTGGTGTAACTATCACATCCCCACCCACACACTCATCTTGAGCAATAAAGTAAAAATATTCAGCCAAAATATGTGAATTAGCACACTTCATATGGATGCCTCAAACACGGTGTAAGCTCCTGTTCAAAGCTGCACTCACTGAAAGACTTTGAGCCACTGAAAGAGAAAGTGATTCATCACTGTTTTGTGCTGTCACCACAAATAACACTGTGTAATAAAAAAAATTGTCCCTGGGTAGTAAGTGTTATTTCCTAATTGCTTATGCCTCAAAAGTACAGAAAATGGCTTTAATTCCCCACAAACTTTGCTTTTGTGACCAGGACACAAATATTTTGAAAGCTACCTATTTTCAATGAGAAAACGTGTGCATTTGTGTCATTCCTTCAAATAAAGTCCTGGTCACATTTTCTATACTTTTTAGGCATAAACAATTTAAAAAAATAACACTTACGACCCAGGGACAAAAATCGTGTGACAGTGTAGTCAATGCTCTTATCCGACAGCCCATTTCTAGGAACTAAGCTTTCAATTGTAAAATTACGCCCAAGTTTTTTTTTAATCGGAAGACGACTTCAATTAGGCACTCTGCAAAGCGTGCACCTCAGTCGCCTCGCCCCTCAAAACAACAAAGATCCCAAAGTGGCGATGGTTACACAGTGCAACACATACTCACGTGAGGCTGAGTCGACCTAGGGGAGGCCCAAGATACATTCAAATAATCGTCACCGGCTTTGGCCGTTAGCGGGAATCAAACTTAGGTTGCCTGGTTCATAGCCCAGCACGCTAACCGGTACACTACCCTCCCACAATACATCATCAATCAACACCCCATGAATAACATGGCATAGGGAGGGAGGCCTGCATCCAGCATTCGAGAGATGAGATTGTTTTTTTATTTTACATTCAAAACCTGATGATCATTCCATGAAGAAAAGTGGGAGAAGTAATATTAATTCAGCTGAACATCTCCTGTAAATTTTCTTGCTGTGGTTTTCACACCTGATGATGATTGCTTGTGCTGCAGTCCAAACGTCGTGAGAATTGTTTCCCTTCTATGTGACTTTACTGAAAGAACCAAGAATATGAATCCCTGCAGTCACGAAAGCTTTAAATCAAAATCTCCTGTAATATTAACAAAATCGTGGCTTCTTTGGAACTCAACCATTATTTTTCTCCCACTTGAGTTGCAGAGCCAACAAATAGCGTTGATGGCCAGCGGTTGTGTATTTTATGAGACGGGAAAAGAGCAGTTTATACCAGAATCAAGTGCTCAACGCTGCTCGATTGTCCTGGGGCCAGGCATGGCAACCAATGTTGCATTTACACCGTTTTCCAACTGGCACATCAGAGCCGAGCCAGCACAGACCCCTCAATGTACTAGTGGCTTTCCACTAGCTATATTTCATGTGAAAACATTGATACATTGGCCTCACAGGACATCTGAATCTGACACGGACCCAAGCAAGGGCAAGGGGAGGGCTAATGACGTTTTTGCACTATTTATTGTTGTAACGTTCTGACCCGCCCCTACTGGACACCTGTGAAAAAGAGATTTATAGCTCATCGGATTCCTTCAGGATAAATATTACGATTCTAATTCTGAATTATTGGACGCGACGTCACTCAGAATGCAACATGAACAAAATGACGGCCCGTCATCGACATGCATCTCGACTCGTTCACTGCATGTGCCGCTGGTGGCCTGGTTCGGCTTCTGCAGCGTAAAAACAGCTTGATGCCTCCCCCGAGTTGTGCCGGGCTGCATTAGCTCAGCGGCAGCAGCATAGCTCGGCTCACAGAGTGGCAACGAGGAGTCCAATGCACACCTGCTTGCTAGCCTCAACCTTTATCTTCTTTACCACGATACAGAAGCCAACCAATCATGCCACTCTATACTTTGGAAACAGATCCTCATAGAAGGAATATTTCAAACCTATTACCAGCTTGAATGGAAATTGGATTTGTTGCATGGTCAATATCAACATGAGCGTTGTTCTTGTTACATCCATCATTTAACTAAGCGGTTAAATAAACCCACTGAGACGCATGACACATCACCTATTTTGCAAGGGCGGCTGTGGTCTCTTTGGAGATATTTCTTACATCTTATTTAAAATGTATCTTACTGAAATCGTAAGTGCTATTAAAATGTTATAGTTTAATTGCAATTAATGCTGAATGCTTCCATCGCATTGTTCGAGTTGTATATTTCTGTAGATGGATGTTATTGAACTTTATTACATGTTAACTTTATAGCTTTGCTTGACCCTGGTCCTAATTGAAAAAAGAGTTTGTCTCATCTGGCTGTCGTTATCATCAGCAGCCATGGTCAATGCACTGCTAGATAATGATAATCATGATTCGTTTTTAAGAAAAGCCCTTTACACCCATAAATCTCAGAGCACTTTACATACAAGGGAAATACGTCAGATCTCATCTCAACACATTGGAAAGCAGCCGTCCCTGTGCGGCACAAGGTAACTCAGCATTTGACCTGCAATCGGGCATTTGTCTGCCGGAAGGAGGCAATGATTGCTACGTGTAATCTTAATCGAGTAACTTGCGGGTATTTTACTGAATTTGGCAAATTTGGACCATGACGCTGGCACACACAGGCCTACTCGTTTCAAATGCCATCAGGGAATTTTAACATCCACTTCGAAGCAGACGGCACGTATTTCACAGTTAATTCACCTGCGAAATTAACCAGGGCAGTCTGCCGGATTCAAGCTGTGAACCTCTGCGACAAGCGGCGAACGCGCTCTCCCTGGGTCGCGTCATCGCCCCCATCAAAGCCTCCCCAAGGCCATCACCAGCTCTCACGACGGTCTTGCTCACAACAATCCATCCGGTCCTCCAAAGTGGATGTCTTCTCCAGTGTTCCTCCTTGGGCTGCCACTTCATCATTCGTCTCAACTATCGGCCATTCTACCTTCGAGTGGTGTGCTCATGGGCAACTCCGCTTACCTTTATTAGAGTCACTGTGATGTCTCAAAATTGTGCATGTTCTCTACCCCACGTGCTCCTTCTCCTCCCCTCCCTCTCGTATTACTTGCCAAGACATATGGCCCAAAAACATGGACATTGGCAAATAAAATGGAACAAAAGCTGAAAAGCCAAAAAAATAAGCGTGGAGAGATGCATGCTTGGAATCACAATGGGTTCCCACCTGGCTTTAAAGTACACCAAAAAATAAATGAACACATGTCTTTTTACTGGTATGCTGCACTTGAGAGATATATTCTTGGAGGTTGGAGTCGAGGATTTATTTGACAAGTGCAGAATGTAGTGAAAACAGCTAAAACAGCTAAAAAGCTAAGCGAGACGTGGCGAGCTTGCCATCCAGAGACTTCGGTGCCACATACTCGTACACAGCACGGTTGTTTACGTACATACATACAGACATACGGGGAACACGAGCTGTGCAAGATTTAAAATACCACCAAGTGAATGCTACATCATTGAAATTTGAATGAATGTGAAGAAAAATTTCCATGAAAGGTCAAGTTCAAGAGTCCTCTTTTGCCAGCAGCCATGAGGCATCGCACCCGCGTCTCGAACTCGCATCAGGGCAGTGGTCCTCAGAGTGCAGTCCCCGGCGCCCCGACGGTCCACCACGCTACTCCAGTGGGACGCGGGGCTATGATGCAGGTTGATCCGGAAATAATGACATGTTGCTTCGGACATTAAATCATATTTTGCTTATATTTTATTTTAAAAATAAGTTAGGTAAACCACCCTGATTAAACTACCCTACCCCTAAGGTTTAAATGTTCCCCTAAAAACCTTAAAGCTGCGTTGAAAATAAAAAAAATGTTTGGGTAATATGAATCATGTAGTACGAGTGGTATTTAGAGAGAGAAGTGAATGCGCTTTGTCACCAGGGCTGGGGGCTGGCTAGGGCTGGGTGGTCCACAAAAATGTTTACATCGGTTGAGTGGTCCGCGGGCCAAAAACAGTTTGACAAACCTTGCATTGGGGCGTGGCCATTCATAGACAGCGCTAAAAGACCAACGTCAAAGTGCGGATCAAATTCCACATGGAAATTTGTGCAACAATGTAACCTCTTCTTGGTTCTTTCGGTAAAGTCACGTAGAATGAGAATAAATCAATAAAACAAAATAAGACAATAAAATTCTCACGACGTTTCGGCCACAACACAAGTGGCCTTCTTCAGGTGAAGGAACAGAACTGTCGGGACGACAGCGCTTCAATGAACGCTGCTAAGATTCGCAGCGTCTTTTAAGCTAGGTGGGAGAAG